AATCTGCTGCACAGTAAATGTGACTAGGAAAACGTGCCGAGACACTATTGCACAGCAAAGCCAGGTAGTGCACAGTCATTTAGTGCTTAGTTATGGAAGTACTAAATGACCGCGTGCTAACGATTGTGCAGCGGGCATCTCATTTAGATGCGTCCAGAAAGCCCAAGTTCAGTTCCTAGCTTAGCCCCTGACTTCTTCCATGAGTCGGTCCAGAGCCAGAAGTGGCCCTGAGACCGGCAGACGTCAAGTGATGCCGGAGAAGAAGGGAGTGTTGCCAACAATGGCAGCCTCCACCGCCGGGCTAGGGAGTGGAGCAGGAGGCGGACGGCGGGAAGGCGACCGCGTGCCTCGTGTTTGTCGAGGGGGTTTGTTTATCGCTTTTATAGCCTTTGGGCAAGGCGCTGCTCCCAGCGGTTTGTGCAGGGCTGTCTCCTGCCCGGCTTCCAGGCAGCTGGGGGAACCCCTCACAAAGGATTTGTTCAGCAAAGAAGCATCCTCTGGCATCACGTTAGCGTATGAACCTCAACCACGCTCCCTGGCATGTCGGGCCAGAGCCTCCACAGGGCTGCGCTGACCTAGCTTCGAAATGAATGGGCCTCTACTGATGCAGACCAGCTGCAACTTGGTCCGTAGTCCATGTGTGTGTGTGTGTGCATGCACGTGTTTGTGCATGCGTGCATATGTGTGGGCATGTGTGCAAACCCACTGGGTGTTGTATAGACATGCCCCCCTTTTCGGAAACACCTGTAATGATGTTCAAATGCACAGGGATTTTGTAACCGAAAAAGGTCCTTTTTGCCAACTATGCTGATGCACGCAGACCATTTCAGTCCTAAACTGATCCCCTGCCCCTGCCTTTTTCTAAAAAAACACTGCTTATCAATTCTGGGATTTACAATAAAGTGAATCCACTCTGGTTCCTTGGGTTTGCTACATAGAGTTAATGAGCGTCCTCATGATCTCTCGAGAGGAACTAATATTACTCCTGGCAGTGCCCCGAAGCAGCTAAATGGAGGTGGCTGAATTTGCCTTATGAAAAGTTCTCGTGTTGAAAATTAAGAGCATTGCATGGTCAGTGTAAAAAGTGTTTCCCTTCTGAATGTTTTGCTTTTCAATTCCGTTTCAGGGTTTTCCCGTTTTTTTCTCTCTTTTGACTTGCAGGGTAGACTGCAGAGAAAAGTGAAAAGCTAAATAAAAAAAGGCAGGGGGGAAGTGCAGAGGGGAGCCAAAGAGGTTCATCTGGGATTGTTAAAATGAAAATAGCGTTGAACTCTCATGCAGTTGTCTTTCCATGTCTTATATGTCCTAAGTGACTCGTAGAATAAGTAGAACACAAATATGTGAGGTCCAGATTGTAACCCGGAGCGTCGCTGGGGTCAAAATGGGATAGTAAAGGAACAAGTGGTCAAGGGTGAGAAGTATGAGAAGTCAATCAGAGGTCACAGGAATAAGTTTATGTGACTACATAAAAAGTTTGTGTGACTAAGTTTATGTGACTACATAAAAACCAACTTGCTTGCTTTTTTTAAAACTGCTTTTGGAGCGTAACCATTCATTTCCCATTGTCAGTAAACTGCAAGGGAAGAACAAATTCAGCTTTGGACAGGTCATGCGAATGCCTGTGAAAATGCCCTTGTTAAATAGTAATTGGTCTAGCAAGAGCATGGGTTAAATCTTGTCACTGCCCCACGAGACGTACCAGGACAGCTGCACCCATTTCACAGATGGTTAAACTGAGGCACGGAGCTCTCCGTGGAAGTCGGGGAGATGACTCTCTTGGTTTTGGCAGCAGCTGGAATAATTTCTAAATTTCTCCTTTAAAAACTGCAACAACCCAGAAGCAACAGGAGCCAGGTGCCCTCCGCTCTCTGTGCTGAGCAGTCTGCAGCTTTTCTGACAGATGGGCTTATCGGGATGCACTGCACAGTGTTCTGCTTTCTTTGTCACCAGGGTAGGGAGAAGCAATGAAACATGGGCCAAATAACAAGTGTTTCATTTTGCAACAAAAAAAAAAAACTTTTTAAATGCAGTTTCAGGGAAAATGAAAGAATTTATGAATTCAGGTTGGATTTGAAAAAATCCTTCTGGCCAGAAGCTACAGTACTTCAGGGAAGCTGAAGGGAGCTGTTTAAACATTGTTAAAACAAAATATTTGTGGTTTTGGCTTTGAAAACCCTTTTATTCCTTTTCTTTTTTTGTGGGACAATTTGCCTGGCTATAGCAAAGGGTTAAACCACCCGAGTGAAACAAGAGGGTCTTGGTTTGAATGATAGCTATAGATATATCTATAGATATATACAGATTCTACATATAGAGATATATAGATTCTATATAAAGAGATATATAGATATATGTATAAATATATAGATATTAGTTTGTTGAGAAAATCAAAATAACTTTTTTTTTTATTTGGAGTTGCACATTTTCTTTTTTTTGGTTTGTCAAGTGAACCAAAAAACTTCAGTTCCGCGCACAGCTCCAATTATCACTAAAAACAATTATTAGCACAGCACCAATTATGTGAAAGGACATGCGTTACAAAGAATATCCATTACTTGAATGACTGAAAGGCTGTTGAAGGCCTATGTCTGATATTAGTGAAAGACCATCTCTAAGATCTCGGTGCATTTATCATGTCTTTTTAGTAATGGTACCCTGGAGTGCAGTCCATTTTGATTCCTGCACAGTGCCTTTGTACTACACACTTGATGCAGAGCTTAGCTAGAGCCGCATCCATTAGAAATGCAGCAACTACTAAAGAGGGGAAAGGCTCCAGCAAATAGAAAATTAAAGTGGTGTCAAACCTACTTGTCTGCATTTGCTTGTCACCCAAATGCAGTCTTGGGGCTGCCGCAGGTTCTGCAGCGTAGCCCATCCAACCCTCTCCAGCAAATTTCTTAAGGATACGCTCCCAATTAAACACGTGGGTTTGGGATGCATCCGTCTGCTGACAATGAAAAGGCTTCATTAACTACTGATTGCTCCCTCAAGAGCATCCAATCCATCAGTCTCCCAGCAGCCCCATGAGTTATGGCAGAGCTGCCGTAGCGTACCGATGCACTGATAGCACGGGAGATTGACTGAGGCACTTGCCATTGGACGTGCGTGAACGTCGGCGAGACACCCCCACTTACTCTGTGACAGCTGGAATTAGCCCTGTATTTCTCACTCGAAATCGCAGCAGCTCAGAAGCAATAGGAACCAGGTGTCCTGGCTCCCGCATCTTCAGGCTGCATGCTCCACCGTCTGCACCAAATGGTCTCAATGGGGCTATCAAGGTGTTTGAGGTGTACGTATTTGAAGCACCTATAACTATGTAGGTGTTTTAAAAATGTGTTCTTAAAAATGTGCGCTTAAAGCAATACTGGATTGGACCAGAGGGCTCAGTACCTTGCAGGGTGCAGCCTTTATCTGCCAGATTGCTGCAAGCCCATTGCTGATAGGTGGAGTTTGCTACCGTTTCTTTTTTTTTTTTCCCCCTTTAACTTCTTAAGACTAGGACAATTAGCACAAGTCATTCCTCTTCTGAGGGCAGCCTAAGGATGCACAGCTTGCTAAAGTATTGCTTGTATAAGAAAGCAGCAAGGAGTGCAAGACTATAGGATGCTCTAAAGCAGAGGTGGCCGACTTGGGTTGTGGGCAGCTTTCCCTGTGGTAGAGAAAATCCAGTGGTGAACAATGGTAGGATAAACTGCCCCCAAAGAGAATTTCTTCCTGACCCGAGTTAGTTAGGTTATGAAGTATGAGGACTCAGATCTCCAAACTTTGTTGTGGAGGGAGCTGGGCTTTGTGGTTGGTTAGTTGAAACCCTTGCTATTGTGGCTGCTCAGTCTCAAGGTTGCAGGGGCGCAGGTTGTAGCCGTGTTGGTCTAAGGACACAGGCAGACACGGTTCTTTGGGTAAATCCAATATCTTTGATTAAACCAACTCAAAAAGTTGGGGAAATGTTTCTTTGCAAGCATTCGGGGAGCTCTGCGTTTTGCAGGTTTTCGTGACTTGCCAAAGCAATTAAGAAACGATTTGTGAATTTTCACACTAAAAAAATGCCCTCTTAAGCGACAAATGGAGGAAGGAGATCCTTGTGACCTGTTTTATTCCCTTTTTTTCTCATCTAATTTCTACTCTATTCATGTAAGCAGCAGCCTCCAGATCCATATATAATGGCTACAAGTCAGCTCTCTTAAATTGCAGATCAGTGCACATGCAGGATATCGTGTGCACTTTCTTCCAAATCTTGGATCCCTTTTTCCTTCCTTGACTTCGGTCATCAAGCTCCCGTTGACTAAGGGGGGCAGGGCAAGGCCAAAGGAAACCCATTAGCTACCCCCCGCTCCCTGAAAGCCAGGCAAACTGATAGCAGCAGACAGATGCCAGCAACTCCATGTGGTGTTTTGAATGTTATTTCTTTAGGTTTAGGTTATAGATGTTATTTCTTTAGGTTGGCAGAAATGCCCCCACTGCTGCCTGGACAGGTGTTGGAGCTGCCCTCAAAACGGTTTTAAAAATCCAACCAAACTCACGTTCAGATGGATCTGTGCAATAATTCAGCAGCACTTGTTGCCAGCCGGGCACTAGTTGCAGTCCTAATTAAGCTCATCATTTGGATTGAGTCTCTCTAGAGGGTCCGATCCCCATTTCCTCCCCTGGCTGAAGGGATGAGCTTTGTTGCTTGCCCTCAACCTGATCAGACTCAGGCTATTCCAGATCAATGTATAAAGTGATTTCCAAAGGCTCAGAGAGCCCCTATAACCTCTTTGTCTGTTCTGCATTCGTCTGAGAAGAACCAGATACAAGGCTTGGCTGCATCTTCTCTCCACATCCTAGTAGGTGTCAAGCATATTGCACTGCTGAACATCAGTGATTTTACCGAGCTAGCAACTTGGAGGCAGTTAACGTGCAGTGAAGTGAATGCATATGGAAGAGCTGAAGGGCAAGGAAGGGCAAAGACATTTGCTCCTTGTGCTCCAGTGACACCTTTTATTTTTGCTCCTTCTCTGCAGATGGCTTCTGCCTGCCCGAGTGGGACGGCATTGTCTGCTGGCCGGAAGGCATGCCAGGCAAAGTGGTGGCGTTGCCATGTCCGGAGTACATCTATGACTTCAATCACAAAGGTAAGCCTCCTCCCCAATTGCCAGGAGATGGTTATCCCCTGCAGGGTGGAGGGATGTGACTTGGGACTAGTGAGCTGGAGGGGATAGATAGATAGATAGATAGATAGATAGATAGATAGATAGATAGATAGATGATCATAGGAAAGTCTGGCTGAAAGGGACCTTACAAGGTCACCTAGTGCAGCCCCTGTTCAAGGCAAGGTCATCCCTGCCTCAACCATCCCTGCCTAACTTGAGTTTGACAATTTGCAGGGATGGAAAATCCACAACCTCCCTAAGTAACCTTTTTGCAATGCTTGAACAAATGCCCCGTTTCAACTACCATATTTTCTTGAGTATCACATACTGAAATAAGATGCACACCTTGTTTTAGGAAGGCAGAATGAAGACAAAGGGGTTTTCCAGAGCCATGGCTGAAGCCGATACATGAAGCAGCTCAGTAGCCCCCAGCCAACTTACATCATGCCGAATTTAGACTTTAAACCCTCTAATGGCCGCTGCTGAATTGACAGCAGCTTTTGGCTGCTCAGCCAAAATCTGCTGCTAATTCAAAAGCAACTGTGAGATGGTGAAAAGATAGTGTCTTCCCTGTTTATGCTGGCTGGAGAGAAGAGAGAGAAGCAAAGGACAGGTATTACAGTGTCTCCCTGCTTCAGTTCTGGCACAGAAATCAGCTTCTCCGCTAAAGATCTACATTCCCATTTTGGAGGGCTAATTTTTTGGGGGGGGAAAGTTTTTGTGAGGTATGTGAGGAATTACGGTAGCCCTTTGGGAATTTCTTAGTAGAACAAATAGCTGAGAGTTGACTGTTGGATCCTCGTGGGAGATTTTGGGGGGTCTGACATAAAACTGTGTGAGCAAGAGGGGAAAAGGAAGATGAGGGTAGACTGGCGGTGTGTCACTGAGCTCCAGGAAGGCACCAGGGGAGATCGTTCCCCGGTTCTGCGAGGCCTGCTGTCTGCTCAGCATCCCATCGTGTGCTCTGTCCTTTCTTCGCTAGGCCATGCCTATCGGCGGTGTGACCTGAACGGGAGCTGGGAGCTGGTGCCAGGCAACAACCGGACCTGGGCGAATTACAGCGAGTGTGCGAAGTTCCTCACCAACGAGACGAGGGAAAGGGTAAGTAGCGCTTGTACACAACGCAAATGACCTCCCCCACTGGAGAAATTCCCGGGGCTGGTGGGCTGCATCCAAACCTTTCTTCATCTTGGTTTCACCCAAAGAGGCGTGGGAACTGTTCTCGAAGCCAGCCATGCCTTCTTCTACCTGGCGTGAGCCATCTTCACTGCGGTCAGGGGGGAAGTGGATAGCGTGCGGTGAGCAAGGTACTTATGAAGCGAACAGCAGTGCCCACACGCCAGTGAGACTTCTTCCCTGCCAGCAGAGCCCACCCTGTGGACAGTTGACCATCTTCTCATAGCCTGCTGTGCAATACTGTAGCACCAGTAGCCCCAGGCTAGGACCAGGAGTCTATTGTGCTCGGTGCTGTACAAATACAGAGCAGAAATATAGTCCCAACCTCAGAGAATTTGCAATCCAACAAGTAATAGCCCTCTCTCTGCATTGATCCTCAGTACGGAGCTGAGGACCTCTGAGTTTAAATGGCCCAGCTTCCACCTGTTAAGCTAAAGAGTTGGGGATCTTCCCCGATTAGCAGGCTCGTAAAGCTATTGTCATGACTCGTGCATTAGAGGGGGCAAAACTCCCGTATTAATAAGGGTTTACACAGAGACAGGGTCCTTTAAACTCATGCTCCTCCAGTAACAAGCAACTGAAAATGGAGCTAGTCTTCATTTGGATGCTGAAACGAAGCTGAAGAGCAGTGGGGTTTGCTTCTCTGTGGCTCTGTGCCTGGGAGGTCCCGAGCAACCAGAGCCGAATGATTGTGTGTCACAGTCGCTTTACAAAGACACGGGTGATTCGCAAAGCCGTGGGGGGCTGGTACCCAGGAGCTCCTCATCTTTCATGGAGACTAGAGATCAAAGATCAGCCTCTGGGTTAGCTCTCTGTAGACCTCCTGCCTGTCTCCGTATGGATACAGAGCGGCGAGATGCAGAAGTGAATCCTTCGTTTTTGGCAGAAGCCGGGTTAGGATTTCCATGAGGCGAGGCCTCATCCGCAGAATAAAATTCCATCTCTACCATTTCTCTGGCCCCGCCGTATTTGCCGAGTATCCAGCAGAAACCCTTATTCCTCGACACTACCTGCATCAGATATTTCTAGGCTGAGGGGTACGCTGTGCGCCGTGCCTCATCCATAGTTAGGATCGTGCCATCTCCTGGCTCCCCGGAGGAAATGATGTTCGAGATCGAGCCACAAACTTCACAGCTGGGGGCAGGCAGGACGGTGACGCGCACGCGGTTCCTGGGTGGAAATGCTCTCCATTTTAAACCCAGCCCCACCAGCACCAGGGTTAGCAGTGAGGCAAAGCTTGCATCAAGTGGCTAAGTGAGGAAAGAGGTATTTGAGCATCTCGGTCTATAATCATCCCAGCGGGGAACAAAAACGGTCCCAGGGCATCTCTGAGTATGCTGTGTAGACACACCCGAGCTGGCTTTACACCAGCTCCCTTTTATACTGCTAGCACGTCATGGAGACACATGGGTGAATGTCCTCAGCCTTTAACTTCCTGAAGAGGTTTGGGTACATGTCCGGCTACACGTCCGGCACTGAATGCCTATGGCTCAAAAGTCACCAGCTACGCAGCAGTAATAAGCAGTGCCCTGCTCACGCTGGGACCACAGTTACCCTGGCCTGAGCTTTGTTTCCACCAAGCATCTTCTGAACAGCTAAAGTTGGTCTGATAAATGCCCCCGAGGAATGACCACCTCTATTCGTGGCCGCGACTTCCAGTTGAAATCAAGGTGATGACACATGCCAGGAGATCCCGGCTCATGGGCCCGCCGTCACGGGGCCCTGGATCAGCTCCCATGAAAAGTTGGATGGGGAGGGTTCAACCATAGAAAAATAGGGGCTGGAAGGGTCCAACCCCCTACTCAAAGCAGGGCCAGCCCCAGTGATGTCACCCCAGCCAAGAAAATTTGGAGAGGAGCCGGTGCTCCCTTATGGTTTGGGTGCCCGAAGGATGCGGAGCAGCCCAAACGAGGAGGAAGAAGGTGAGTGTTGTAAGGGACGGTCCTGCACAACCCTGAACAGGGAGCAGAGCCCTGTTGCTGAGTTGAGGCGTGAGGTAGGGGAGCAACTGGTCCTGGAAACCGCTGGGGATGGCATCGCGTCCTCCAGAGTCCTAGGCAAGGGGGCAAGCAACTGCCCCATCCTTCTCCATTAATAACCAGCTTCTAAGAAGCAGCAGGTGTGGTCTTCTCCTCCCAACATGAGCATCCCTGCAGAGGCAAGGCTTCACAGGAGCCATTTTATTGCAGCCTCATCACCCTGAAACACAGCTGGCAGGTAGCTATTTGCAGGAGCAGGGTCACGAGATCCATTTAGCGTCCAAAGGCACCTGTCTTCTGCAGCCTTTTAGTTGCAGAGACGCCTCCCGCAGTTCCCGCGGGCTGCTCGTCTCCAAAATTGTCTTTCCCTGAGGTGGCATCAAAGCCGGCGTCAAGTCAGGAGAAAGGCCGAGGCTAGAAATCTCCGGGCAGGAAGTTTGCCATTGCATTGAAACTTGTGCAGGGCTGCTATGTGCGGTTGGGTGGTCGCCTTGTTGTGTGGTTGCATTTCCGTGACGAGCAAGGCAGTCCCAATGCAGCCACATTTAAGGCTCTGGGGGGTCCTGGCACATGAAAGGGAATGGAAGACAGAGTAATATTAGCTCATCATCTCTCTGCTGGTGGAGGGTGGCAGCAATGCAGACCCCGAGTCTTTCACTCCCTGCAGACCTGGCAGGCTTATTAAGCCCTTCCTTGACCCTGAAGTAGACAGGTTGGGGAATGCCAGGTGGGAGGAATTTTACCAGACACAAAAAGAGACGTTTCTATTATTATTTTTCTCCCCCCATTGGAGGGAGAGTATTTCCATGTCATAAAATCATAGTAATGAAGGTTGCAAGGGACCTCGGGAGGTCACATCTAGTGCAAAGCAGGACCAGCCCCCAACTACATCATCCCAGCCAAGCCCTTGTCTGCCTGGGTCTTAAACCCCTCCAAGGATGGAGACTAGGAAGGAGGGAGGAAGGAGCCTCTGAGGAAGGATGTCACCACTAACGACTGCAATTAACGGGCATGTTGCCACGGTATCAAGAGGTGGCTGGGATGTGTTGGGAGGGACAGAGCTGGAGGAGCACAGCCCACGGGAAGTTGCAGAGAACTTAATGCCTGAAGCCCAGAGGTCTGTATATATATATAGATAGATAGATAGATAGATAGGGATGTGTGCATACGTTTCTGTCTATAGATAGATCGATAGATAGGTAGATAGATAGATAGATAGATATACACACACGCTATAAGGGAGTACAAATATGTTCTCATTTTAGCCAGCGTAGGATAATTATGAGGTTGGCCAAAGCAACTGTCAGGCTCGGTGGTGCCACACTAGCTAGCACCGCGCCCAAAAGGGACCTGTGGGTCATAATTGACCATAAAATGAATAGGAGCTGCCTAAACGTCTGTGAACCTGTGAACATGTAAAGGAGGCCAGAGACTGCCCGTGTTTTTGAGCAATGTAACTAGGAGGATTTCCCCCCCAGGACTGTCAAGAGGCTGCCTTGCTTTCTAATCAGCAATGTAAACTAAAGATATTCAAGCCAGCAGCATTTGCAGATCATAACTGGGAAGCAGTTACTTGGGGGTTGGGTTTTTTGAGGGTCAATGATGTCAGATTGACACCCCTGCACCCAGGCACCCCCCTCATGCCGCGGGGCATGTAGAGGGTATCAGGAGGCTTTCATGGAGCAACTAGTGCCGGGGAAGGATGGGATGTGCCCCTGGAAGAAGAGGCATCCTGGATGCTTGGCCAAAGAGAGGCAGGCACATCGTTTAGCAGCACGATCGCGGGGCTTTCGAAGTGCCCGGAGATCATGTAGCCCTCACGGCTCAGTGCTTTGCCTCGTCTCTCATTCTCTGCTCTCGGTAGCCCTTGCAGCTCAGCCCGGCCGAGCCAACCCAGGAGCCGGCTCGGAGAGGCTTCCTGCCTCCAGACCAAAGAGCTGCGAGATGCGTGGCTTCCACGCCAGGGCCCCGACCAGACAGCCCCACGCTGTTTATTTTCCATCCGGTGTTTATAGAAACCTGAGGTCGGGACGATCAGCTCAGTCGGTGCTCGCCTGCCCGGGATCCCAGCCTGGCTACACGGCCAGTCTGTCTCCCAGTGGTTTCTTTGTTAACAGGAGCAGCCCTTGGGCAAGGGCGTGCAAGGAGACATTTTGCTCGTGTCCTGGCCTACGCTGGCTGGTAGCCCAAGCACGTTCCCCTTTCGCCTTGCTGCCCTCCCTTTGCAAGGTTGTGCGTCCATCCCGTCGCTGCTCATCCATGCAGGCCGCGGGCAGACTTGGGCACGGGCGCTTTCTCTCTGCCCTTCCTTAACGGGACAGCCGGGGAACAGAGGCCAGGCAGCAACTTGGGAGGTTCATCTGTGCCTGGAAACCACTGTCCCAGAGACATGGACCAAGAGAAGACGAAACCTCAGCCCACCAGCCCCGGCTTTGTCTGCTACGGCTTGTTTACAGCGCGGTGGTTTCGCTGCTCTCGGGGTAATGAGAGAAGGCCCCCAGGAGCCAGTCACGTGCCAGGCACGTCGGGAAAAATGCAGTGCATCCCAGGGCGGCTTTATCAAAACAGTGTGGTTCAAAGCCAAGTTGTTGCACAGCCTTTGTTCGTGGAGCTCATTAGCGCCTCGGTGAAAGGGTCGTGATGCTTGCAAACGAAAAGCGGCTGAATGAGTAGGGTCTGTTGGATAGAGACCGCATGGCCCTGCTTTATACTAAGACGCGGGGGGGGTTTCACGTGAGACTGATCCACGGTGAAGGGAGCCTTACTATTGGGTGGAGCGGGGAACGGGAAGGGATTTATTGACCCTTTGCATCGCAGACACTGCACCAGTTAGCTCTCCATCAGTTGTTAAAGTCTCACGTGCCAACCCTCATCAGCATGTCGTCATGGTTATATTTCAAAGTGGCTTGCCCAGGGCTAACGAGTGACAAATAGCTGTCCCCAGCC